CATGATCGTCTTACTTCATTTGTTTTCCGTGGTGGGGTTGTGTGAAACCACTAGATTACATTTTCCACCTTTTATATATATATAGAATTTTACACTTTGTCCTTCATTGTTCAAACATTTGATAATTAGCCTGAGTATCCGAATGTAATTCGGGATTTTGAATATTTGCTTATTTTATATTGATTTTTAACAAATTGGAAAATGAACCAATTTTGAACTGGAACTGCCGAAATGCTGACCCAGCACCAGAGGAGTTTTAAAGAAAATTGCCTCCCAGAAAGAAACAACGTAAACCTGTAGCAGTACAATCTTTGTCAATGGACGACGGGTTAAATAAGAACCCTCGGAATTTTCCCAGTTTGACTCAAAGATTGGAACTGCAGTAGAGCAGAGAAGCCAAACTGGCTACGGAAAGCCCAAAATTTATAACGAGTTTGAAGTATTCAATAAAGCAAAGTTATAACAGATGGAAACTGCCATCGTTTATTGAAGTCGTCAACTCAACGACAATGGAAAAAGCGATGATGCCTGTCGAATTCATAACCCAACAATAAAAGGTGATAAAGGGCGAAACCAACTTCTGGAAATTAAAGAAGAGAGAGGAGCAAGGCTACATCCTGAAGGCAGGGGAACGCAAGTCACCATACCGTTTGAGGGAATAACTGCCTTCTATAAGGGAACTATGAGGGAACTATATAAAACCCAAACAGGAAAAAGACGATATTCACGAGCTTACGGACGGGATGAGCAGACTGCGAATCAAGAACAAAATCAAAAAAAACGAAAATCGTCAAGTTGCAACAAAAACTCGAGGCTTCACAGAGGAAGATAGCGATCCTCAGATCCTACAATGTGGAGCTAGAAGCCGGAAGGAAGCTCTAGACGAAATTTAGAGCTATTGAGAACAAAAACGTTGTATAAATTTGAGTTCATTAACCTAACCTATCTACATAACTTTTTCATTTGATGTTCTTTTTAGATGTTATAACAATAGTATTTAATCATTAAAGTGTTTAAATTTTCACCATGGTAACTGTAAGAATCGAACAGCTTAATTTTCTTTAAAAAGGGGTGAGTTGTAGTGTTGAAAACACTACACAGACAAAACATCATTGTCTTAATTGTTTATTTAACGACCCAATTCTAAATTGGAGCGTGCCATTTAAATTAAAGCCTCTTTTCACTAAATCAGATATTGACTGATTTACTCTTATTAGGACTATAAAATCTTGTTTTGAAAATCCACTACTTTTTAAATACTTGTCCAATTTTTCTCATTTTTTCATGCTCACTATTTTAAAAGGGCGGCGATTATTAACACGTCCCTTTTAACTTTAACTTGAAACAAAATGGATAAATATTTAGCAGTCTTGCTGGCTGCACTGAAATTCTCCTTGCTTTGATTAAGCAGAGATGCCCCTGCAATATGATGCATCAGAGAAATTAATATGAATTTTTAATCAGACAAAACTGAAGGCTGCGGTTTTAATCAAAGAGAATTAAAAACTTATCTCTACTTTGATCTCTACGACTAGCTGATTTATGGAAAACCAATCAATTGGTGATGCGTAATTATCAACACTGAATTTGCAAAGTTGACGCGTTTTCCCAGGGTTGAAAAAATTTACGGTATTTTTCCTGTATTAGGGGCGTAGAAAAACTGGTTTTAGGATCGGATTAAATATCCAATGTTTATTTTGATCATAAAATTTTGTAAAATGAGTTGTATTTTTATTCAGATTTCTAACCATTTCACAAAGTATTGTTTTAGAATTATTTTTTCGCAAAAACTCATTCGTGAAACTAGGAAAACTAACCCGCTTCAACGTTTTTTATTCCGTCCATTCAACTGTGTCACAGCTTAAAAATTCGACATTCTACTTAAGAATGTTAAAATGAGAGAGGGTTTCTTAATTCTTTTGTTTTTCATTCCAATTTTGTTTTTTTTCCTGATGTTTTACGAATGAATTTGACTCTTTGGGTAATTCTCAGTAAATTTCAGTTGCCTCAGCAATTTTATATAGTTGCCTCAGAGGAAACTGTCAATTTATAAACCCTCACAACTCCAAAAAAACCTCAAAAAAAGTAAGTAAAATTTATAGTTTAAGATCGTCAATTTTTTAACTGAATGAATTATTTTTATTTCAATTTAAGGTCAATGAAACCAGTCCTTCTAGTTCTCTTAGCAAGAAATAATATGAGAAGATATGAAGATATCAATTTTGATTGGAGGTGTGCACCGGAAAATTTTTTATTTCAAACTTAAAAAATCATTTTTTTGCATTAGTTTCTGAAAACCCTGACTTCCCCTAAATATTGGTTAAAAGTCTATTGTGATTCAAAAAAACAAAACCTGAGTGTAGTATTGAAAATACTACACAGACAAAAGACCATTGTCCTAATTGTTTATTTAACGACCCAATTCTAAATTGGAACGTGCCATTTAAATTAAAGCCTCTTTTCACTAAATCAGATATTGACTGATTTACTCTTATTAGGACTATAAAATCTTGTTTTGAAAATGCACTATTTTTTAAATACTTGTCCATTTTATTTCATTTTACCATGCTCACTATTTTAAAAGGGCGGCGATTATTAACACGTCCCTTTTAACTTTAACTTGAAACAAAATGGATAAATATTTAGCAGTCTTGCTGGCTGCACTGAAATTCTCCTTGCTTTGATTAAGCAGAGGTGCACCTGCAATATGATGCACCAGAGAGATTAATATGAATTTTTATTCAGACAAAACTGAAGGCTGCGGTTTTAATCAAAGAGGTTTAATATTTTAAAGATATTTGATTTGAAAAAATCACATAAAAACTAGTTGAAAATTCCCTTATAAGAGAGGGAGAATAAAGGAGCAGGTGAAACCTGAATAATTAAAGATTGAATCAGCCCCCGGTTTATGCTTACGAGCAAAAAAACTGGCCTGAAATCTTCAGTGTTTGATTTTGCTCAGTAAGCAGCAAGTCAGATCTCTTCAGTCAGATCTTTTCAAAATAAATAATTTTTCTTTTCTGCCTTTACAATAAAATTAAACTAGCCTTTTTCCACAAATAAAATAGAGAATAAATTGTCATTTCAAGTTCGATAAAATTATAAATCGAGATATTCAAGATACCCACACCTGAGGAAGTCTGGACTACAAGTACCCAAAGGACTACGGCAAGACGGTACTGACGACCAAACCAGAAGTGCCGAAGTGGACACAATCAAGGGCGACCCAAGAAATACTAATCAGCCATCGACCTTAGTAAGAAGATAAAATATTGATAAACAAAATAATATTAACTCAACCTCCCCTCATAGGTATATTTCTTTAAGCTGTTCGATTCGTTTATATAATCTAATAACCCTGTGCTTTTTATTTAACCAGCTAATTAATTCATAACTTTTCTAACTATTGTTTTTACTCTAACTTTTGTCAAGACAACATGAAAATCTAAGGTGAGACTTATAACTTAGGATAAAATTAAAAAGCATTCAACCAGCAATGAGCGCTTAGTAAATGTGGAAAAACCAATTGAATCGTTTTTAAATGTATCTTAAGCTTAGACTACGAACCCCATCTTAGTTACAAAACGGTATTTTTTTTTATTTGTTTGAGCTTAAGAAATCAGTATTTTTCAGTTCGAGGTTTAAAACCTCCAAACAAAACGGCTATTCAAAATTCTACATTTGTTTGAAAAAAAATCATTTCGAGCAGTTTTCGAAATTCACAACAAAGTTTTTTGGCGCTAATTTTTCGGTTTCTTCTTTTTGGCGCTAACAAACCGTAAATCGTTCAAAATTGAAATAAGGCATTCTCTTTGGTTTATTTAACACTTCGTTTTTTGCAAAATATATCACTCTTATGTGTAGAGAGCTTTTCGGGTTATGTGTTTCAAAAAACCTCAAAATTTTTTTTGAAAATTTTTCTTTTTTTCAATTTTTCATTGATACAATCATTTCAATTGATAGAAAATACATTGCAGTGAGAACAACCAGGGTTTCGCCCTGATACGAGCAGTCTTGTATGCATTTAATTTGGAAATTTCAGAAATGCCGATATAGTATTGCAATTTAATTGCTACAAAACGCTTGTTTATCTGGCCGCTAATTTCTTCTTGTTTTGGATTTTACATTCGCACTTTTTGCACACTTAAAGCATCTTATAAAATATGAAAGTACAAAAAAACATCAGCATTATGAAGTAATCTCCTCAAAATACTTTCACGCATTTAAAACTCCTGGTATAATTCACTAGTTGGCTCTTTTTCCTCCCCCCCCCCCCCACCTGCAAATTTTTACATGTAAATTTGTTGACTACATTGTCCGATTGCTATGAAAATTTACATACAGACTAATAAGGTCACGACAAACATAAAACATATTTGGTCTTCATACTCAACCTCGTAAAACCTCTCGTTACACTAATATATTGAAGGTCGTGTGAGGTGGGGGGCGGGGGGAAGGAAAAAGAGCCCACTGGTTTTATCTCCTGTTTCGAGATTTAATTTTAAAAAAATTCCTTTTCGGGCTCACGCATTCTAAGAATTATCATTTTTGTAAAACAAAAGAAAAAGCATTCAAGATGGTATCTATCGGAAAAGAAAGCTCCTCTACTCTACTTGATGGTGTTTGAGCTTCTTTCATTGCCAAAAATTTATTTGATCATTTATTTTCAATCAAATAAAAACAAAGAACGGCATCTGTTTTAATATAGCTTTTAAAATAATACCATCTTACCATCTTCAGCAGCAATATTGGAATTCTTTTTTATTGGAAATTTGACCTTCCCTGTAATCACACTTAATACTTTCTAAAATGCCACTTTTTGTTTCGGCGAGTGATGGAAATTTTACCAAAAATTTAGCGGGATCGGAAACAGGTAACTTTCTGTGTTGTTTCTTTTTAAGCATTTTGAAAAAGCGCCAGGCCATAAAATGCATGTATCAACAAAGGAATCGCATATCACTTTTTTCGTAACTCTTTTTCAACAATACTCAATCTGATAGGCGAATTTTATTGTGAACGTGCTGAAAACGAAAGTGCACGATATGAATTTTAACTTTTGATTTGAGAAAGCTCTAAGCATTACTCGTTGAGTTTTTGAAAACAGAACAAAAAAAACAATTCTTATCTCTAACTCAATGTGATCTCAAACACTTAATATTTTCAAAATTACCATTGAATTATGTCATCATTGGATTATGTTGAAAATGATTCCGAGTTTTTCAATCCGGAACAGGAGGCCGACAGCGCTCTTCAAGCGACACTCAACAAAGCTTACCACATGTCTTCTAATTTCTACAAACGATTCCGAGACAAACTAGACATTCAGCAGTTGTTCAGCTGCCAACACCACTCGTGGCTGCTCAACCAATCAGAACTGAAGACGAACTTCAACGCACCACTCGGATTGGCAAGCGAAACTAAACTAACTGATAGTTATAATGAGGTGATTTTAATTTGATATTAGCTTACATTTATATGTCGAAATGGTCACTTTGTTCTGAGCTAATAAATAGAATAGACTGCGACTTGTATCGGTTATGAGTTGGTGTGAGCAGCTCATAATGTTTTCATGACTCTTCCCTCCTTTACCTCCGAATTTTTACAATTGAAAGGTTTGTTTCTTCTGTCCGACTGTTATGAAACTTGACACGCGGACTAATGAGGCTATAACAAACACATTTGGTCTTCATACTTAACCTGGAAAACATCTCGCTGAACCAGGTGGGGGGGGGGGGGGTTATTTCTGACAAATTCGATTCTGTGATAAAACATATTGCTTCATAGAACGGTGAGTGTTTGAGAAGTGTTCGTGGTTGTGAACTACAACTGGTCCGATTTTTAGTTAAAAGATCGAGGGCTCAAAAACAAGTCATAATCACAGCTCGTTTGCGAGTTGGGTTCTTCCCCCCCCCCCCACCTCCAGTTTTCTACAAGCAAAATTACTGTTCCCACCGATTAACAAGAAAATTGCCATGCGGACTGATCGGGCCATGACAAACTTATTTGGTTATTTGGTCTTCATAATTAACCTTGTAAAACCACTCATTTCATCATAAAATTGATGCTCATACAAGGTGGGGGGGGGGGGGGGGCTGGAAGGAAAAAGAGCCGCGGGTTGCTTTGATTGAGCCTTTTTTTCCTTCCCGGAAAAGTTAGGGAAGTAACTGGGGTTTAGATAGCTCGTATGTCAGTCCTTTCCCTCGCGAACACAATAACAAGTAAAATAATTTTTGCGTACTATTTCATTCACTTAGCTGGAAAAAGTAAATGTGGAATATGTTGGTTGTGCCCTTGTGCACTTGACATTTCGAACATTATGTCATATTTTAGTTCCTTCTTCTCGTGCCCCAAAAAGAAGACTACCCTCATTTGGACTTCCGAGAGGTGCACCAGATAGTACGTGAACTGACAATCGGGATGTTTGTGTTCAACCAGACCCCAAACATCTCCCTTCTCTCAAACTTCGACAAGAGCACGTCAGTCTCAATATCCTCGCCCTACGTTGACACTCTAATCGGCCAAGCTCTGGCTGCTGTGGATTATGAACTGAAAACAATCTGGCATGGGTCCCATTTTGACAACAAAGAAAGTCGTCAGAAGTTTAATGACAGGTGGAGAACGCTGGTCCATTTGACAGCTGCTGGAGTTCCCAGGGAAAAGCTGGATTTCCAGAAGATTTTCACGACTCCTAGTGAATCTACAGGTACATTAAACAAAACCAATTTTCCCTCATTGCAAATTTTGTTTAAAGTCCTATTTTCCTAGATTCTTTATCGTAGTTTTAGTTCATTTCAGGGGTGAATATTTTTTTATCAGGTACGAAAGGGGGGATGTTCTTAACATTTACTCTAATTTCGATGTTTTTGTCGAAACTCTTAAAAATTTAATTTAAAAAATTGTTGCTGATTTGCGAGCTGACTTACTACCCGTTTGGAGGGAAGCTGAAGTGTTCCCGCACTCAGTAAAAAGAGAAAATAATAGATTATTATAGATTTTTATAATCAGTCTCCATAAATTTCAAAAAGAATTGATTAAAATTGACTAAAAATGGATTATAATTTTTAATGTTTTTCGAAACAATAAAAATCGTTATAATCGATTATAATCGATTATTTTATGCAAGTTTTTTATTCTCAAATTTTATTGAATTATAATAGTAAAATTGACCAAAACAGGGTCTTTTAAATGCCTTGGGAGAGCTTGGAATCAATGGAACCTATACAGGGGCGGATCCAGGATTTTTTGAGGGGGGGGGGGGCGGATTTTCAAAAATTTTTCGAAAATTTTGACGCCTTTTTTTTTTTTTTAGGTCGACCAAATTGATTTTTTGAGCTCTTCTAAAGCACTAAAAGGCCCCTGTTTTTGCCAAATTTTCTGCGCCGCAGGCAAATTTTTGAAAAAACAGGTCAAAAAAGCCGTTTTTAGGCACTTTTTGAAAAATTTTGGCAAAAAAAATTGCGTTTTTTTGGCGCGCGCTCCCCCTCAAAGTTAGTATATATTGGCGCCAAAGGCGCCATTAGAAAAATTTTAAGGTCGGTCGGCAAAAAATGGATTTCTTAAAAAGTACCAAAGGGGGGACCCTTTGGGTCGGCAGGGGGTCGAAACCCTGAGGGGAGAGGGGCGTCCGCCCCCCCCGACCCCCCCTAAATCCACCCCTGAACCTATATAAGGTTTAGGAGACCCCCCCTCTCTCTCCGAAAATCCTAGATCCGTCTCTGATTTACTGATTCTCATTTTTTGTTGATTTTTACTGTGTTTTCATGCAGAATAGCTAAATTATAAATTGAACTGATTTTTCTTGTGAAATAATAACTTGATAGAAAAAGGGCTTATAGTAGATTATAAAAAGATTATAATAGTTTATAAGACGGATTATAAGAGATTTTCGGAATTGATTATAATTTATTAAAATCTCAGCAAAAAATGTTATCATTATAATCGATTATAAATCGTGTAAATACCTAAAATTGGCGCTGATAAATAATTATAATTTTGCTAAAAGTACGAGTATAATTATAATATAATCGATTATTTTCTCTTTTTACTGAGTGCGAGTTAGTTTGACCGCCTCGAATTCATTGATTGATTCAGATAAATGGATTACAATCGCCCACACTGGAGTTCCATGGATAAAAATCTAACACATTTAAGTTTCTTTGTCAGTGTCAAAAACAATTGATATTTTGTTAAAGCGAGTATACTCAGTTTGCTAATAAAACAATTATATTTTAACTATAATAGATTAATTTTCACTTTTATAGAGAATTACCATGAAATTCAATTATAATCGACTTTTTTGCACTTCATTCAGATGCGGGTGAGTATGCACAAATCAACGAGCACAAAATCTTTTGCACGTTGTTAACTAAAGATGAATGAATACCTGCTTTTTTCAATTTCAACTTTTTTCTGCGCGACTTTAATTATTTTTTCTCATTTTCTGTTACTCTATGTTTCCTTTCAACTATTTTCTTAATATAAATTGGGGGGTACCCAACATTTGGCGGATCAAAAATTTTCTCGAGAGGGGGACGGGCTGCCAACCCTAAAATGTTTCTAAAAGCGTCTTCGGTGCCAATATATACTAATTTTGAAGGGGAGCGCGCGTCGAAAAAACGCATTTGACCTGTTTTGTCATAGCGTTCTAGGAGTGCTAAAAAAATCAGCCCCCCCCCCCCACGCTTGAGAAATCCTAGATCCGCCCGTGATAATATTGAAAACATTTTATACCACAAAAATCCATTATAATTGACTTTTTTTCACTTGCCTTAGATGCGCGTCATCATATTCAAAATTTTTTAACAATGAAATGTTTAACAGACTCGGATACTCTCTTGACGCTTGATTAAAAACCTATAAGAACAAAACTTACTCTGTGATTGTTCAGGAAACGGAATAAAAGACAAGTCATCTGTTCCCGTCTACGAGCACCTGTACGACAATCCTCCTGTCTGCACCGACGATGACATGAAGCTGTTCATGGAACACGAGGAAAGCTATCTCATGTACGGAAAAATGCGCGTCTCTAAAGTAGAAACCTTCAAAAACCTGATTTTGACCACTCCTGTTTTTGACGTGAACACAATTGTCGAAGACCCTGACATGTCATTTGAGGTGTATAATCAAATTCAAAGTCGATTACGTCATCAAGCGGAAGTTTCCCAGATTGCGCTCGCGAAACGACTTGAAATTCGGCGACATTTGATGTACCTGGATTTAGTTGCAAGTCTGATACCTCTTTTCACAGCTCTGAAGAAAATTGGAAAAATTATCGACTTAAACCGGCTTTTGTCGATAACAAACTTCGGAAGTTCTGATGAAATGAGAACTGACAAAGAGTTTCCACCTCATATTTTGGGTAAAAATTTTAAATGCAAGCACTTCAATTTCAAAGACGACTATTTTGGGCTGAATGGTCGTATGGGGTTTGACCCTGAAACGAAACCTGTTGAAAACTCCGAAGATAAATTGAGTTCAAGTTACGAAGATTTGATGAAAAAAGCAAAAAAGAACTTGGACGAACTTTTGGAGAACACGAACATATACGCTGACTCGTATCCGGTACCTGTTCACACTGTGAATGAACAATACGTGAACTTAATTCTGCTCGAAGCTGAGCCATTCAGTACTGCAAACGGAACTGTGAAACCCATTTGGGTGCAGATCATGTTAGAAGAAAAGGCAAAAATTGAAGAAAAGAACGCAAATGTCAAAGATGATGAAGTGAAAGAGTTTTTCAAGCGGAAATACGGCTTCCAAAAAGCGATGAAATTGATGATTCCTTTCAACGGAGTTCGTGTAGCCGCTGAGTTAGGCTTAATGACCGCTTTTCAACTATTCATCGAAAAAGGCAGCTCAATAATGCTTGTTAAAGAAGATGAAAAAGGGCTGTCGCTGTTACACCTAGCAGCTATCAAAAACCAAGTCAGTATATTGACTTACATTCTAGGAAAAGGAGTAGACATTGACGTTAGAAGATATCAGCATTTTCAGAAACAAAATGGCCCAACGGCTATGCATTTTGCATGTAAACACGGCAGCAATGAAATTGTCGACTGCCTGCTCGCAGCCAAAGCAAAAGTGAACATCCGCGATTCTAACGGTTGGTATGCCATACACTGTGCTTCTTATTACGACCATCCGACAATTCTTGAAAAGTTTCTAGCTCGTGATGCTTCCCAAATTGATATGGTGACCCAGAATAAAAGCAAAGAAACGCCTTTGCAGCTAGCTGCATCATCGGGGGCTTTGAAAACAACCAAAATTTTGCTCAAAAATGGCGCCTCTTATACAAAAACAACAACAAAAGGTGATAACGTCATTCATTTGGCGGCTCTTAACGGACATAACAACATAGTTAAATTTTACATTGAAGAAAACTATGAAGATTTGCCTGTTTGGACTATTTTGGTTGAAATGATAAACGATTCCGATACAGACAAAATTGCTGCATCTCTGAAAGTACTTGAGTTTTTATCAACAGCCGAGGATCATTATTGGAAACGAATGCTAGAAGCTAAAGCTATTCCAGCATTAGTAAACCAAATGCACTCGCAAAACGTAGACTTGATTGCTCTATCTTGCTCAATTGTAAACAATATTTCCAGGCACCATGACACCCGAGTTGCGCTGAGCGAAGCGAACTCGATCTCCATTCTGATAAAGCTTCTCGGATCTCAGGAGCCCGATATCCAATCACGTTCGGCAATCATTCAAACAGACTTAGCCGATCTTTCAAAAGAAGTCAGTGACGAAATGCGAGAAAAAGGCGTAATTGAAAAAATGTTTGAAGTCTTGGACGAAGGAACGGTTGAAGATGTTCTGATAAACGTAATGATGATGACGGTTCCTCTCTGTAAAGAAAACCCAGATAACCAGTCTGCTTTTATGGACAATCGGATTGACATGATCCATTTGGATCTCCTCGCAACTGATTCTGAAGATGTCAGATCTGCTGCCGCAAACTCAGTCGCCGCGACTGTTCTGAACCACCGCGACAACCAATGCGCTTTAGTGTACGCAGGAGTATTGCCGCCGTTAATGGACCTAATGAAGGTCCGCAATCTGCAGGTCCAAATAGCAGGAGCTGGAGCTCTGGAAGCTCTGGCAACTAATAACCCAGATACACAAGCTATTATACTAGCACACGATGGATATGTGCCGTTGATAAAACTTCTTAAAGTTTGGTCCATAAAAGTGAAAGAACAAGCTGCCTTCGCTCTTTGGGCATTGGCTGGGCAAGCTTTGATGCAACAGAAAACAGTTGCAGACGCTATTGCGATTCCTCAAATCATTGACATGATTCTTCTTCCTTCGGATAAACTCAAATACGTCGGATCTCTTTGCTTAGATTCGTACAGTCGAAATGACGTTACAATTCAGAACAAACTAGTTCAACAGAGCGCCATCCCACCGTTAGTTCGACTGCTCAGAGCACCGAAGCTTACCCGAGACGTGCATTTAGCATGCATTAAAGCTATTGGCACTCTGTGCGTCGGAGTCGCAAACCGAAACAACGTAGTTACCCAAACAAAACTGGCTGACGAATCGGCTATTTCGTTGGTGTTATCATGCCTGGCGGATCACAAAAAGGACGTCATTATGCGAGTCGAATCCGCCTACACGTTGTCCAAATTAGTTTTGAACAACAGCAAAAACTTAGAAATGTTGAAGTCGTGTAAGAAGTTCAGTTATTCGGAAGTTTTGGGATTCATGAACGATCGGGATATGTCAGTAGCAAAGATTGCGGGTTTGGCCATTTCTACTTTTGCTTTTAACAACACAAAAGAACAATTTGCAATCAAAAACGCTGGCGGTGTGTCGATGAAGCATTTCCAGAAATTTTTGGATCACCCCGACCAAACATTCCAAGCTACAGGTGCGTTTCTGACTGCTGTTTTGGCTAAACTGATTGTCGACAGAGACCAAATTAGCCTAACAAGCCATTCGGTTAATCTGCTATCTGAACTGCTCAAATCAAGGAATGAACAGGCTGTGATCAAGTCTTCGGGATATATTGCGAGTCTGTGTCACACGAGAGCAGGTATCCCCCAAGTCTTCGTGACCTTGGGAGTCGTCGAACAATGCGTGAAAAACTTGCAATCAACTTCAAATCTAGAGGTCAAAAGAGCGTCTGCAAATGCTTTGGGTTATTTGACATTCAACGCATTAGCGTCAAGAGTTCTCTTCGCCACATGTAGAGCACGTCCGATGCTGTTCACGGAACTAATGGAGAATCTCGAAGCCGACGCTAAAATAGCCGAAAAGTTTGTCGAGAACTTCAACATGGAAATGTCTACAGGATGTCCAATGCACCATTTAGAGGTCATGGGAGGTCCGCCGGTCAAAACACGAAGCACGTATAGCGCATCAGGTGATTCCACTAGACCAAGTACAAGATCGTCGGCGATTACAAAGTCGCGACCTACCACTTCGGGAACACAAAGAGCCGGAACAGCTTCGGGTGCACGTGATCAGAGGTCCATGAAGTCACGAGCGATGACCTCTACTCCAACTCTTGGGAGACCAATGATGCGACCAGCTACAGCTGTTGTGAGAACAGGAAAAAGCGTTAAGATAATAGCTGATCTTTAACACTATCATCAACTTTTGATCAGAAAACTTCAAATGTAAATAATAAACTATCTGAAAAAACTGAAGATTAACTAAATTCCTATTTTAACACAGAAATTAACACATTGTGTGGAAAACTGTTTTCATATGGAATTGCAAATGGCACATTTAAAAAAAACTAATTTTGGAGTGAGCTTCTGTCCATGGACGGCCAAGACCATAGTAGCGATTAAACGAAATTGGATTGTTGGGAAAACTTTTCCAGAACAATTTTGTCACTTATTGGAAACCTGAATTAAAAGTTAAAAGTTTTGAAACAAGCTACGTCCCTATAAGTCTGTTCAGCTGAATATATATAGCAATTTATACCGAAACGTTGCAGTTTATACTCTGAAGGGTTGGCAGAGTAGGAATTAGGCAGATTTAATAGAAATCCTATAGAAAGTGAACAAATTCTTTTATAGTCTTTACATCAGTTTAGGAGACACCAATTTCTACTTGTGCAGAGATGCAAGACTGGTGTTAAAACCTACAGCAAGAAACTCAAAGAAAAGAAAAAATCATCGGAAAATTTTTGTAAAAGGAGTTTCCGAGCATTTACTGGCTTCTGATTGAAGTCTTCGAAGTTTTTTCGACAAGAAAAAGCCCTCAGCAAAAAACATAAACCGCTCCAGCCAATTTTGTATTCCTATGTAAATATGTTTGCCAAAATATATTTGATCACACTAGTTTTTTGCCAGATTCATGAAGCCAAGAAAAGCAGAAGCTGCTTTTCGCCCGAGTCGACAATTTTTTGCTTATTGATTTTTATTGCTAAACCCTGAAAACTCAGAAATAAGCTATCGTCGTTTTGGAGCTGAAACAACGAAATAAAATCAGACCTAGACTAACCGTATTGTATCAGGACCAAGCCGATATCGTATTGTATTGCTCGATTCTGTCTTTCTGGTAATAAAACAGTACAGAGCCGTGTCTGAAGTTGCTTTGCGAGTAAAAAAAAAATAACTTTGAAAACAGAGGAAAAGTTTTGAAAAATTTCTACTTTTCAAGAATTATCTGCCGAATTAATTTTTGTAAATCAATAAATTGTGTGTCTAAAGAAAGACAATCATTGTCCCATAACTAAGAAAAAAAAAACTCACAGAACCTACTATTAAGGTTTTTTTGAATTTAAGCAGCTGTTTCGAGTTTGTTGGAGTAATTCTCTGCGGCGGTCGCACGAGTGTTACTAAATGAACGTTGCTGGTTGTTTGCTTAGTAATCTAGCCTAAGTTATAGGTCAACTATAAGGTCGTCAAATTGTTTGACAAAAGCTATGGTAGAAACAATAGTTAAAAACGAGTATGAATATATAAAGTGGACTTGCAAATAATAATGATGTAAAAATTTAATTAAAACTATCTTTATTTTAAACAGGGTTGAGGTCAATGCCTAGTTTGTTTTGTTGAAAGCAACAGTTTGTTTGCCTAGAGTCCGCGTCTAGACTGCTTATTGATTTGTCCACCTATTTTTTCTCAGAGTATTAGGTCATCAGCTCTTCTAGATCCGTGTTGCTGCTTGTAATTTTCTGGAACTTATAAAAATGTTACTATTTTCTCCTAATAAATTTAAATAATTAAAAAGAAACAAAAAAGAGAAATAAATTTATTCCTAAAAGTTTGACTCGACTGAGCTGGTGGAAATCAGAGTGGGAATAAAAAATTTATGAGAATATTAGACAGGTCCAGTTGGAATACAAGAATGCTTCAAAATACCTTTGTCTAAATCTAACCTTTATAGACTCTATTTTATCGGATATCTGGTTTATCTCCCGGTCTAAAGGAAGTTTGCGGCAGTTTCACTTTTTGTGTTTCCTTCTCTATTAAAAAGCCTTTTTTCATTCAGTTTTTGATTTTTAGCTGTTCTATTTCTTTGTGTCATTGTAGCTGTTTTATAAAGACCTGGAGTTTATCGCTGTTTTGTCTGTTTTTCAAGGCAGGACATTTTAACCGGTCAGCCTGTATGACGAAACACTTTCTTTTTGATATCCGACAAAATAGTTAGTGAAAAAATGTTGGATAGTTTAAAAAGGGGTCCAATCTTAAAAAAATTGAAAAAAGTTCGAAAGAATTGACATTTGTTAAGTGGAAAAGAGTCCATTATAATCCTAAGTAAGCAATCAAAACAATATTCCTTTATATCCGTGTAATGTTTTCAATACTACAATTCGTATTTTTTTTTCATTTTTAGACATCTTCTATATTGAAAGAAGTAGTCTACAGGAAGCTTCCAAAGCAAGTTTTTGTAGTAAACCCCGTATAACCAATTTTCATTGAGCGAACATTCCTCAATGGCGTCACTCGCTCGGAACTAGATTAATTCACAAAAAGGTCAATTAGTTTTTCTCGACACAGACCATTTTGTGAAATTTTTTTAATTTCGTTTAAATCACGGCTGAAACAAGTTTTGATGATATGTCGCTCGGGCGTGAACAAAATGCGTGAAAAAACTAAAAAGACACCCGAATGCAAAACTTCCCGCCGTTTTCATCGGCTTGAACAGCAAGAACAAACGGTTCAGTTGCAAGTAGCACACGGTGCTTCGATAATAATCATAAAGATGATAATCTCAGAATTAATTATATTTTTTTTTAAATGAAAAGTTTTAAAATGTTTCAAGTTTGAAAACGGAAAAAAAAACTATTTGTCTCGCACTGAGATAACATAGACAAACTGAGACAATTTTTCTGAATTTCATTTTAGAATCCAAATCCCGAACAAATGGGCTACAAAAATATGGTGCCACACTTGATTTTTACAAGCTTTCAATAATGTACATGAAATCACCGGCAAAAAGTACACTACGTTCTCTCCTGTAACTCTCAGTGATTTAGTTGGAACAATCAACGAATTCAACAAAAGGTCCAATGCGATTGTTTGAAAACAGTTTTTTTTTCACGTCAACCAACTGGGCTTCCTAGGATCATCCGCAATAAGAAAAGTGCGTTAATTTTAGGACTGATACGGATATTTTTGGAACTGATACGGCATTGCTATTATCTCATCGCCATCAATTTTATTTTGTACCAAAGAGCTACATTTTAAATAGTTTAAAATATTCAAAAACTCAAACAAATTCAAAAACTGTTTCTTGTTCCTGTTTGCTTTTTTACTGATATATTCTGCTGTATGCGCTTGCTAACAGTTAACTGATAAAACTTTTGTTGATACGAAAATTCATTTTCTCTTACAGTATTCAAAAAAAGTATCATTTAGAATCTTTGCTTCAACAGAAAAAAACTCATAAAAGTAATTGTGCAGTCAAATGATGAACAAAAAAAGCCGCGTGTTTATTATTTTACCGTACAATACGTCAAATAAAACATTCAATACTGCTCAAACTGTTTTCAAATACAAAACGTTTTTAATTCTTTGTTCTGCACTGGTACACAAATTATGGCCGAGCATTTGACCGAGGCTCAGATTGAGGAGTTCTACGTGGCATTCGACTGGTTCGACACTGATGGGTCTGGCACTGTGGATCACGAGGAGCTGGGGTCAGTTTTGAGGTCACTGGGTCAGAATCCGACTGCAGAAGAGGTGGCTGACATGATGGCTGAAGTGGATGTTAACAGTGCGCCTTTGTTTAGCCTTTTGGGTCTGCTGAGGGTTTTTTTGGTTACCCCCCCCCCCCCCCATATGATGAAACATCAAAATGAAAAATGAAATGCTCATCGATAGCTTTCCCAAAGATTCCTGGCAAAATTCATTCCATACACCTCTTTTCCAAAGGACTTAATTGCATTCTGCAAAAAATGTTCATGTTTGTTCAGAGACGGGAATCATTGAGTTCAACGAGTTCCTCACTCTGATCACGTCCAAGATAACAGAGGACACGGACAGCGAGGAGACTGTCCGACAGGCATTCCAGCTATTCGACCAGGACGACGACGGATTCATCACTGTCTCAGAACTATAGTGAGTCACATCTCTTTCTGCAGAGCAGCTCGTGAATTTACATTTTTCTCATTAGAAACGTAAATTAAAATAACCGCCTGGCTTAACGTACAAACCCCTGAATGGGTTCGCCCTCAAATTTAGTTATATAGAAAAATTTTCTATGTTAGCCGGCCAAAAATGGATCTCGTGAAATTATATCCAGGGGAGATCTTTTGGAAAAAATGGCCACCAGAATTGTGGGTAGGGGGGGGGGGGGGTTTGATATTGAATAGTTATTAGTTTCTGAGCCGGATCAATTTTCTGCCTACGCTGAGGTTAAAAGAAAATTTGCAATTATAGTACGCCTTTTTAATCCCAATTTGTCCAATTGACACTTTTCGAGCCCCATAACTTGATCGCGGTTGAGAATAATTTCAATTTTGAGCTCGGGCAACAAAAACTTTCAGATGTTATAGAAAAAATTTGGAGTGAAGTTTGGATAAAAAAACTCCCTAGTTTCTTCAAAAATGGCAATCAGCGATTGTTTACAACAATTCTAAAGGCAGAAGCAAAAATTCGCGCATCATTTTTTCGGCAGGTGCTGTTTTTTTGAAAAAAGCTCTGACTTTCTGATGAGGTCGGCCGATTGTCATTCTCCACGCTTCGGTCTATTTGTTTCAGTCGCATGATGGCCAATTTGGGCGAACACTTGAACATGGAAGATGTTAAGCAGATGGTTCGCGATGCCGACTTTGACGGAGACGGAAAGATCAACTATGACGACTTCGTCAAAATGATGATGGGCTGGTATGTGTGATTTAGTCAGTAGCGCGCCGAGGAGGGGCGGCCTTCCCCCCCTCAATTCTGGTTGTCAATTTTTCCAAAGTGCCCAAAAATGCCCCCGAAAATTTTTGACAAAATAGGGTCCTTATAGTATTTTCGGAAATTGATCAACCTAAAAAAAAAAGTCCGCAAACTTTTAAAAAATTTTCAAAAAACCGCCACCTTCCCCTAGAAAAATTTCTGCGACTGGATTTAGTATGAACTTCTATCCTGTTTTTAAAAATAAAAATGAAGCTTTTATGAATGCATTAGTTTACTAAACGATTTGCACCGTTTTAATAATAATTTTCAATGTTATAGGATTGGAGGCTGACGAGATAGAACCAACCATTGACCAAAAACTAAGACACCATGAAAACAATTGTTAATTATAAATTGAAATTCAATCTTTTCATTTATCTTTTGGTTTTCTGCCTTAATTGACGTGCACAAGCTTTGTTTCATCTGTGGATTAGTTTTTGTCCGGAAATTTGGTTCATTTTCGCGGACACAAAAAAACGTCATACCAGCATTGTTGAAAATCTAATGATAATAATTTAAGAATCATTGCTTTTAGCAGGTTTTGTAGGTCACCTGAGCTTTGAATCGCCGTTTGAAATAACATGGGAAAACTGAGTGTTGAAAAAAAAACAGCTCTAAGTCGGATCCTAAAAAAATATTTCCTGCAAAATATCGGCGCACCTGCTGTTTGAGATTGCATTTATTTAAATATTGATAAAATTTTTCTGATCATCTTTTTCCCGAACAAAAAAGTATTCTTTCCTTGAAAAATTAATTGCGTTATCATAGCAACTTTATCATTTTAAGCCGTGACTGTACCTTCACGTTTTATTGTGTCTTCACGTTTTACAAATTTTAAAAAGTGAGTGCTTATATAACTTGTATAACGTAGCTGAAAAAGTATAAAAAAGAAAATGAATTCTTACCTCGCCAGCAGAAGTAAAGACCCAAGTTTTGACCACCTATTTGACAAATCTTTACACGAAGAAAAGATGTCACAGATCGACAAAGAATACGAGGTAACTTGTATAACTTGTATTAAATTATTTTAATATAAATTTTTTCATTTTTCTTCAATAGGAGAAAAACATTTTTTTTTGACGTTGAAGGAGAAATTGGATAGCCGAATGAAGTCTCTGGAAAAAGCGGAGAAGAAGCGGCAACATAACTTGGCAGTCAATGGTCAAAAAACCGATCAGAACAGTGAAAAAATCATGGTACGTTGGGTATTTTGTAATTTAGTCAAGCTACCTCCCCCGCCCTCTGCGAACCCTCCCGCCAATCCCCCATCTGCGAAAACCCGTCAACCACTCGATTAACTACGTCACTCTTTTCAGTTGACCAACTAAGGCACTCAGGTTGTAAAGACTATAAATCTCCTGATAATTTGATATGATGGATGATAGGATCAATTTAACTTTTTGGTGACTTTTTTTCAGGAAACTTTTGACAATCCCAACAAGAAACGAAAAAAGACAGCAGCTCCAAAGGAAGTGAGTTTGGTTTTTGATGCCTAAAGTTCGAAATAAAACGAAAAGCAATCAACAAATTTTTTTCTAAATTTCAGATGGAACGCCAGTCAAGGTAAAAAGCTGAACTATTATTCTTCGAGATACTTCAAAAAACCTTAAATATGATCAGTCTATCCTGTTGCAGGGCTATTATGACGACCTTTATCAATATACGAAAAAGGAGCAACATTCTCAATGTGGACAACACAAGCATGGCCATAAAGACAAAAACTTATCAATGCCAGTAGATCCAATGGTGGAAGAATTATTGCAGGAAGAGGTATATTACATTTAATGAATCAAATTTTCAAAGCAAATTTCTAATGCGTTTTGTCAAAACTTGCTTCAGGACATGGACAAGCTATATGACATGGCGGAAGATATTGTGTGGACAAAAAAAGTTTAAGATTCGGCGAACTTAATTCAAATACAATTTAATTCAATTTAATTTTGAATATACGAAATCGATGTTGGTTTTCGGGCAAGTAAATTTCTGGCTGCGAAATCAAATTTATTTATCTTAATTGGCCAAGTAAACAACCTAATTAAGCTTAACAAAACGCTAGAAGATTAGCTAGTTGCTCAGTAAGTAGCATAGAATGCTTCAACCACACTGAGCACGACAAGACGAAATACAAAAATAACATTTACAGGCGGTTGCTGTGCAGGTAGCACAGAATGTTCCGACCCTATGCTTAAAAAATTTCATAAGTATATTCTTTTTTTTTTCTCAAATTAGCGCCTTTTTTGTGCGCGGTTGGATAAAAAGATCTGAAAAAACCTATTCTACTGCAGGAGCGAATCTAGGATTTTCTGAAGGGGGGAGGGGGGGGGGGGGGGGAGTGGTTTCAGGAAAATTTCAAAAAATTTGTAGATTTTTTCTAGGTTCACTAAATTGATTTTCCGAGATCTCCCAAAGCACTAAAAAGACCATGTTTTGGACCAATTTTTTTTTGGACAAAAAAGTTGCGTTTTCTCGGCGCGCGTTTTCACCTCAAAATTATTAATTATGGCGCCAAAAAATATATTAGCATTTCGATGGTTATTTGTGGTAACTTTTTTTTTGTTTAAAATACGAAATAGGCTTTTCGTTCGAAGTTAGACAAAAAATCAAAAAATCGAAAATGTTTTTTTTTCGGTATTGGGGCAACTTTTTGAAAAATTTTTATACCGTTCGAACCACGACTGAAAACCAAAATTTTAGTTTATTTGAGTGGACACTGTAAGCCAAGTTTTAACACTGAATGTGAGTACCATATGGAAAAAACCGTCATTCCTAACAGTCTGGATTGACCTCCGTGCATGAAAAAAAATATCTCAACTCTATACAATTAAAATGGTTTTCATACAATTCTGTACATGGAGTCTAAGGAAAAAACACTTGTCGTGCATTAAATGAAAATTGTATGACAGGCATGTTTTACACAACTACAGCAATTTTTGAAGCTGATGAAAAAATGCTTAACATCACTTCTAAGCTCAATCATTTTGTTAAAAATGAGGAAAATCATTTCTCAGCTCAAAAAAACATTTAGTTGTCTAGAATCAATTTTTCGAATAAAATAACAACAAACTACAACGATTGCTTTGTGTGCAGCCAGAACGCTATTTTTTGCTTCCAGGAACTAAGATAAAACTTTTTTCTGTCAAAAACATTTCACGGTTTGCAGTTGTGGCCTCTTATGCTATATATATATATATATGTATATATATATATATATATATATATATATATATATATATATATATATATATATATACTTTTTCAACAAAAAGTGCTTGATTATTGTTTTTGGGCAAAGCACAAAAAAACGGAAACAATTTTTTGTTTTTTTTTTAAACGATGAAATTGGAATCATAAAAGTTTTTAAATAGACAAACGCTTGTCATAGAATTTTCGTAGAATTTCTTTATAATTTTCTGTACTTATAGAATTACAAAAAAAATATAATAAGTAGTATTCCATATAAGAAAAACGCATGACAAGCATGTTTCCGGGATGACCAAAAATACTAGTCATACAATACCCATATATGGAAAAAGGCTAGTCATACACTTTCCATACAACTCCATACGTACAGATTGCATGAAAGGTCTATGATTAGTTTTTTTTCATATATGGAAATTGTATGACTAGCATTTTTCCATAAACCAAAAATATTGATTTTTCTACATTTTAGTTTCTTTAAAATTTTTTGGTTGTGTTCGTAACCGAACACGAATGACATAAATCTTGATTACTCAATCGAGTAACCAGTAACCAAAGGTTTGGCCGTCTCGCATTAATAATGCATTGGAAACAGCCTGATGTGTGTTACTTCTGTCTCACACAATATTATAACGAAAGTATTGAATTTTTAAGTTTTGGCAATAAGTTTCAAAGATGACTATTTCTAAAATTTGAATTTTTAAGTTACCAGACACAATGATCATGGTATACAAAAACATGTCATACAAAAGAAAGAGGAGTTTTAAGCGTTTTTGGAAAAAGTTATGAAGAAGGAATGACCGAGAAGGAAAAGTCCAATATTAGTATATCCAGGACTACGTTACTACCACACAAAAAAAACATTAAATTCTTGCATGCAAAATTATTTTTTTCAAAAAATCTGTTCGTATGAATACGAAAATCAATTTGCGGTTAAAAGAATCCCAAAAAAATTTTATGGGGGCAATTTGACAAAAAAACTTTGAAAAATTTTTGTCGTCGCCATCAAAAAAATGCTAGTCATACAATTTCCCCTTTATGGAAATTGTGTATGACTGGTGTTTTTTTTCAGAAAAACAAAAATAAAAAAGTCTAAGTTTTCAGTTGTAGCAGCCCAAAAAAACGTTTAATTGTTTTGCCAGTAGTTGAATTGATGCGAAGATGTAAATTAACTTAAAATCAAAACAAATTGGTTTCGAATGGCGCAAGGAAAAGTTTTTCATTTCTTGTTCACAGTTGTCATCCCTGTGTTTTTATCTTCAAACATCTCATATTCTTCGAATTATTATGCAAATGGTGTCGAAATTCTAACATAATAGGAGTCAGTTATGCGCGATGAAAGCCCCAGTTAACAGCGTGCAAATTTTTAGAATGCCATTCCAATTGTGTAACCGTCCTCAACGCCGGAGGGATCGCTATTTGGATCTTGTGCCTCTGATGCAAATGTTGGTTGCTCTTAGTATAGCGAATGAAATTCTACATCTCACCCAGCACATGACATGACTATATTGGCGGTCCCATTTTGATGCCAGACCAACATCTGCTAGTCGCTTGGGGAAAAACGTGAACTCCGGTGCCAAAACACCATCTATTGAAGTGACAAGTGGAGTGAAAGACATGGGCTTTTCTTCACAAGCTGGTCCACACTTATTTTTCTTCTCAATCTCTGCTGTTTTCAGTACATTCATGGATGGCGGTTTTGGTAAGACGGAGCGTCAGTGTCTGTAACACGGATGTCGAACGACGCAGCCGACTGTCTATCCCAAACCCCACGAGCTGAAAGATCTGCAATTAGTGCCGGGGTTCCATTTTCTACATCTGGTTCTTTTACGACAGGTTCTCTTTTCACATCTTTCCACAAAATTGAAGCAGGATCGCCCCCTGCGTTTCTTATTTCGTTGTGTCGTTGTGTTACCAGTCCGCCCTTCTTGCAAGAAAGTGCATGCTGTAAGTCAAAATCTTGTTGACATCCATCGCATCTCGAGAAAGAACGTTTGAGTGGGTTTTCTGTACCTGACACATAGAGCGTCTCTGAACTCTGTGGCTGACAAATCAAAATTATCTTTCAACAAGGGCAGTCAATTATTCTCCGGATCGCTCGTTTCTGATCGGCTGGTAAAACTGCAAGCAATTCATCGAGTTTATCTTTGTCCACAGCATTTTGTTTCTCCTCGTGGTT